GAATTTCTTCATCCAGACGGCTTCTTTGGTAGCGTCACTTGCGGCAATGTACTCGGCCTCGGTCGTGGAGTCTGCAGTGGACCCCTGTTTGCTGCTTTTCCAGCAAACAGCACACGATCCTATTGTGAAAACATATATAAATGTAGACTTTCTATCATATGGATCCGTCTGGAAATCGACATCTATATACCCTTGGATCTGTAGTGAGCTATCGTTGAATACTAGACAAAACTCTTTTGTCCTTCGAAGGTACTTAAGTATGTTTTTCACAGCGGTCCAGTGCTCCTGCCCTGGGTTGGCCTGAAATCTGCTTACTACACTCACTGCTTGAGCAATGTCAGGATGAGTACACAGCATGGCATACATGATGCTCCCTACGGCAGAGGCATAGGGAACGTCTTTCATGCCATCAATCTCCTCAGAAGTCTTGGGAGACATCTTCTTGCAGAGAGTGACTCTGTGCCTGAAAAGAACATTTCCTTTCTTAGAGTTTTCCATGCTGTATCTTTTGACTATTTTGTCAATGTAAGCAGATTGGGATAATCCTATTATCTACTTCGATCTATCTCTATAGAGTCGAAGACCCAGTGTATAGGAGGCTTCTCCAAGATCTTTCATAGAGAATTGCTGTGAAAGCCATACTTTCACCGTAGTTAACATTCTTACATCATTCCCAATGAGTAGAATGTCATCTACATACAGAACCAAGAAGGTAACCTTATCTCCACTATATTTCCTGTAGACACAGGGATCATCCAGATTCTGCTTGAAGTCAAACGATTTGACAGCAGAGTCAAAACGGATGTTCCAACTTCTAGAAGTTTTCTTATATCCATAAATGGATCTATTAAGTTTACATACCATGTTTTCCCGACTTGCAGCAATGAAGCCTTGCGGCTGCTGCATATAGATATCTTCAGTAAGATCTCCATTCAGGAATGCAGTTTTGACATACATCTACCAAATTTCATGGAATGCTGCTACAGCTAGCAGGATCCTAATAGACTTAAGCATGGCCCACAGTCGAAAAGGTTTCCTCATAATCGATGCCCTCTTTTTGAGTGTACCCTTTCACCACCAGACGAGCTTTGAAGGTCTCAACCTTACCATCGGGGCCCTTCTTCCTCTTGTAAATCCATTTGCAATCGATTGCTTTTTCCCC